TCTATTAATTGGATAGTTTGTTCAATTATTCATTACTTTGAATGAAAGAATAATAACCAACAAATTTGTTTAAATTATTAAATGATCGGAAGAGGTTCGCCTTGAAGAAACGCGAAGCTGCAAGTAGTCAGTAGTTCAGTACTGCTAAAACGTGCGGTCGATATTTGTCGGAAGAGTAGAACGCGCGCGGTGTGTCTGGTCTGTTTCTCTCCGTTCACCATTCGCCGGTCTCAGGTGGCGAGAGTTGTACGACGCGATTCCATTGGTTCAGACGGTCTCAGCTGAGGTCTGGTACGAGCCGACGGTCGACTCATATACCCGTATCAGACGCAACGATTATTCTCCCCAATCCTTTCTATAACAGCCGGTATAACGTGATCTTCAACGAACTATATATATCTGAGAGAGACTGAGAGAGAAAAGAAAGAAGAGACATAATGATTCGGAAGATGTTGAGGTGAACGGAAGATTTTTCAAGCTGGACCCTGAAGCTTAAAGCTACAAATTATTCGACTCGCGCGTCTTTTTTGGTAACAACTATTGCAAAATAACCGTTAAGTCGGAAGTGTTTTATTTTGAAAAGCAGGACTTAAAAAAAAATTGTGTCGTAATTTAGATTATTATATATCATCGAGAGTGTGTTATTTAACACTACACGGAGATTAATCTATATTTATTTCTACCGAAGAAATCTTAGAAAAAAAAAGAGAAAAAGAGAAAACAAATTAATAAAATTAATTATCTATGTAATTTCAATAAAAGTCAGGAAAAATTTTAGGAATTAAGATGTTTCAAAAATGAGCAATAAATTATTTAAAAATGTCAAACGAGTCATTTTTTGATCCCCTTGGTATAGTTCTAGTTTAAGAAATGACTTCAGAAAAAATTGGTTCTAAATTATCGCGGAATTTTCGAGAAACAGTCGAGAAATGATCCAATCGTATGATTCGTATGTATATGTATGTATCATATAAATGTATGTATCAGTACGTATATGATACATACATGTATCATATATATGTAGCGATAATGAATGCACACGCATATGTATACCAGATCGTTTAAACGGTGATAAAGATAAAATGCGAAATCAGCACATGGTCAAGATCTACTAGAATTAGCTGTTTCGCAAAAATAGACTGTCTAACAATGCGATATATATTTTTGTCATGCACGGGAGACAACAAATCACGTGACTGCCGATACAATCGACGATAAGAACTGATAAGTGTCAATGTAAATGAATTTTTCGCCGTGCGTGATGTATAAATATATAGATGCAATAACTACTTGACAGCATTAACATGAAACATTATGTGGCGAATATCGCGTAGAAGCCAGTTAATTGTATTCATAGTACTTGTTTTCTTATAGTACTTTTGACTTTTTTCCTGTCGAACGTCACAGTGAGGACAAGTAAGAACGCGATACGGGAATAACACGTTATATATACCTAACGTCTCAATGCATATTAAAGATTACGCTCATTATGAATGTCGTTCTATAGTTTCGTATTTGGTTTTTTATATTTCAACTTTTTCGTTTTTCTCTAGTGTATTTTTCTTAAATTATATTTTCCTTCTTGCCAATTATTATGCATATAATAACATGCATCGAATTTATGCATATAATAACATGCATCGTATTAATGTGCAAGATTTTAACAAGATATTAATAAGAACCCGCACGTCATTTTCAACACATTTTATCGGAATTGCTTTTGCAATTTAAATTAGACAATATCAGCTCTTATTAGCTAAATCGCAATTTTTTCTGTTAATAGTAACGTATTATGCACATTATGCTAAGTCGAGTAATTTATTATGCATATATTATTTAGCAAGACGGGCGGATTATTCTCATTAAATTTCGCAAACGCAGGAATAAAGTTCAACATTTAATAAACCGCAACAAATCACATTTATATTGTACATGGTATATCGTATGCACGTTTAATATTGAAAAATAATTCTAAAACTAATTCTAATTTTATAGGTTGCGTTTAACACAAAATTGGAAAAATTGTACGCAGTATATGATTAAATTATTTCATAAATTCTTTTATAATCAAAGTTTACTAATAAGACAAATAAGTTAAATATATGTTTATTAACTTTAGCAATACAGCCAGAAAGTGGAGACAAATAAGTTAAATATAAATTATACTAAATGGAATTCATTGTGTGCTACACTTTCATTTATCTAATAATTCCAAGAATAACATTATTAATAATTTCTGAAAATAATTCAAATAAACGATATATTGTTTTTCTTTGTTGTTGACTGACATCACATTCGATCGATAAAAATGCACGTGTAGAAATCATATAAATGATAGCGCGCGCGCGCGCGATCAATTCTTTTTTTATTGCCGTGATATAATATCACATTGTGTGTTAGATGGATGTGCTACGTGAGAAACGCGGCTGACCTCGAAAGCCTTTGTGCAGCCTTGGCAATGATCGTGCTCGCTCGAACGAACTGAGCTCTGGAGGCCGCGTCCTCAACCTTGTTTATAATCTAAAATATCGTAATACTGCGATCGCTATATAATCATGAGGGTTATTCTCGATCAATGGATTATAAATGTGCAATGCAATAAATGAGTTATATCATTCTTCACGTACACTTTGAGACACGACGTAACTCATTTATCGCATTCCCATTCATTTTCATCGTAATGAATAAAAAGTAAACCATTCAGTTGTAAGCTATTAGCGTGTTTTCCACGAGAATATATTGTATATAAACGTGATTTCTAAAATCAATAATTAAATGAAAGAGCATGGAGCCGCAACAAGATGTTAGTGTCGTAATATTTAATTAAGTTAAATTGACAACTTTTGGGCTGACATTAGGTTATCCTCAGTGCAATAAATCAAACAAATTACATCAATAAATAATGTGATTCATATTTATTATTTGTACATTCAATAAAAATATTAAAAGAATTATTCCGATAACGCGATAATACTTCTAATACTTTTAGCTTATATAAATTACGTAACTGCTTCAATGTAGCCAATCTCATACATCTAATAAATTAACATCTCATCGAGTGTAATGTAACAACTACGTTTGTTAACAATAATATACATTAACATAATTGGCATAATTAGCATTATATCTGAAAATTTATACAAAGTATAAGTTCTTATTTTTCTCACGTTTTTCTCATTTCTTTTTTTCAAAATTAATTGAAGACGTGCATACGCAATCGCATTCAAATTTATACGAATTGTTATGTTGCTTGTACATTGTTTTCGTCTCGTGCAAAATCGTTATTTCGATTCGGGTTTTCGATTAGCAATTCTACTCCAATGACCGGACTATTCGGAGGATCAGCTGATCGTTCACCCGGCGTCCCCGCGCAGGCGAATGTCGACGAAAATACCGTCTGGTCGGCGTCCCGGCGCCGCGCAAGCCTGCGCCTGGAGGACGTCGGTCGAGGATCCAGCTGGCACTCTGGCAGTCGATAGACAGTCCTCGGCCGGGCACCGCCGGCACCATCGCGATCTTGCTCCACTCTGATATTCGCGATCGCGGGATATAGGCGGTTCGTCGGGTTCGGGCGCGTACATTCTCGCGCGTTTGACGGAATTCAGGGCGATCTGCAGGATTGCGACGACAAGCGTATACGAGCTCCGTACGTATGCACAATTTTGACTTTCGACAAGCCAGCCGATGTGACTCGGAAGCTGCTATAGTGTCTTAATTTAAATCGAGTCCAAGGTGGTTAATATAATCAAAAGGTTGAAAATGAAGAAAAGATGTCAAATCTATATGTGCGAGACGATTCGAGTCTATTTATAAATATAAATATAAAATATAAAAATGTAAAGATATAAAAGTCTATTTTCCGTACAGAGAAGTCGTACTCCGTTATCATGTTAGAAATAGCGAATGGAATATTTGCTCTTCGCAGTTTCACTAGCTCGTCGATAAATCGAGCCTAAACAGGTATACCGCGGCGGGGTCTCGCGATGTGAGTTTCTAACTGGGATAAACCGGGATGACAGCTGGTAGCTTCGTCGCGACGACGCGGCGAAAGTCTTACAGGTGTCATTTCTCCAGAGAATCACTCTCTTTCCGGGCACCGGTTACCAATTAGTCGGACGAGCCGGCGCGCTCGTGCGTGCACAAACGACGTAATCGCAACGTTGCTTTACGTTTCCAGGTCATGCACTACCTGGAAAGTGTCTCCGCTGATATAACCGTCGTTCGTCGGTCTTCGGCGCGTGTAATCGCGTGTCGCGATAATTGTAAATAAACTCAAGTAGGTAGGAGAGAGAGAGAGAGAGAAAGAGAGAGAGAGAGAGAGAGAGAGAGAGAGAGGGACACACTTTGTATTTGACCTAATATAAATTCGTGTTTGCTGCTACACTTTTTGTCTTTTATCGATCGCTGTTGCGTCACACGTCATTGCCATTCGTTCTAAATGCTTTCGTAACTTTTGACTCTACGGGAGCATCGATAATTACGGCGCTATTGCACGAGCCATGTTAGCTTCATCAAATAAGCCGTGCGTGCAAATATAATTATCGTCGCGGCGGCCTCGTCAAAGGAGTTCTATTCTCGTGACATCGGCGCTTTCATTTGGGAATAATTTAGATTTGACTTCATCGAAGTTTAGCTAATTTTAATTCTGCAAATATAATATATGTATACCGTATTTATTAGTGTCTTGTTTTTATAATCTTTTAAGACTTTGAATTTGAAATTATTGTATATTAATCGCGCAGGTGTTTTTATTTGTTCTTTTTATTTTAATGTAGCAATATATCTAAATGATTAAACACCCAAAACAGCGATATTAATAATTTAATAATTTAAATAAGATTATAAATCTAGATGGTTAATGAATAACGCTAATGAGATAAAAAAATATGTACGACATAATTATTTGTCGTAATCGCGATGACAGTAATGAAGATTTATTGCTTACTACAATTTTTTATAAAACATAATTAATGGAAATTTTTTTACTTGGCTGTTAACAGGCTTTACGCAAGGATGGCGCCGAATATAACGAGCACACCGACGGGGGTGCTTTTCGAGGGTGAGACTCTTCCCGAACCGCAGCTGATCGAGGAGTCGAAGGAGAAACCGAAATATGTTAGGAGCATCGTTTGGAGGAACGTGGTGATTTTCTCGTTCCTACATCTCGGCGCTCTTTACGGAGCTTATCTCGCCTTCACGTCCGCCAAATTGGCGACCGTCTTTTTCGGTAAGTGTTTTAATTTTATTGCGCGGTGTAATGTACCTCTTACTTCCTCATAAAATAATTATACGATGAAATAATATTTTTATTTAATAAAGAAATTATATCTACACCTTAGAGGTAAAGAATCGTATCTCCAGCTTTTGTCAAAATGGAGTTGATACATTTTTTAATACAATAGCTTTAATAACAGGAGATTAAATTGTATAATGGTAAAGCATCTCTTATGTCTATTATTACTATAGTTCCTTAAGATATAATATTCAGAAAAAGTCGTATTGAACATTTTTATAGTGCCTAATTTTTAAAGCGCCAGGTACAGCGTGTTATTGGCTATTTAATATTTAATTGTACTATTAGACATGTCAGTTAAATGATTTTATTAAAAATTTAATAAATCAAGTTACTACTTTATTTTAAATTAAACGAAGTATAGGCTCTCTAGACAAAATCAAAGGAAATAAATGAGGCAATCGGAGCCAAGCGCGGTGATCAATGCGCAGACAAATTATAATAATAAATAAATATATTAAAAACGAACGTTTCGACACTTTTTTAGTGTCATCTTCAGCGTGAATAAGGTTACATAAAATTCATAACGATATAAAGATTTACATGAATATACGAGACGAAGTAGTGTACAAAAAGGCGCTGTCACAAAAAAAGTGTCGAAACGTTCGTTTTTAATATATTTATTTATTATTATAATTTGTCTGCGCATTGATTACCGCGCTTGGCTTCGATTGCCTCATTTATTGTATTTCCTTTACTTTATTTTATATTTAAAAAAGAAATATATTGTTTCTCTATTTAAAATTCTTATTTTCTCTGAATTCATAATAATAATTAATGGAGATACGATTCTTTACCTCTATAGGATACAAATATATGAAAGTATTAGTTGATCGATCGCACATTATCCCTTACTTACGACACGATTGAGTTCAGCTGATACATTCGCGTTGACGTACCCGCCGTGGTAGATTTTGTTTAATTTTGCACTTACGCGAAACTCTTTAGCGTGAACAATTAACGGGATGTTAATTAGATGAGCTAAAATACTCGATATATTTGCGACTTTTTCAAACGAGATTATAACACACCTGTTGATAGTCTTTTTATTTTATTTAGACTAATTGGTTTACGTTATTATAAGAATTACTACGTTGTTATCATAATAGATTTTTCAACACGATTGTTACTATATAAGCGTGTTACGAGGCATTTGTTACGAGTAAATTTTCCGTTCCGTGAGAGATATCAATCATATCTCTCGTAATTTTTCACAAAATAGTTATTCCATAAGAATTGATGATCATCGGAGCAAACGGCAAGACCTTTGCGTGTAACATCATGATTTTCTTGATTACAGCAATTTTATTGTATCAACTCACCGGTTTGGGAATCACAGCCGGGGCTCACCGACTCTGGGCACATCGATCCTACAAAGCCAAGTGGCCTCTCCAGGTGCTACTTGTGATTTTGAACACTATAGCATTCCAGGTATGTGGATTTTTTAGAGGAAGGCTTAACGAATAAAAATATTCGCCAAAAATAAAATGTCAATTCGTAATCAATTTTTTTCGCTATTGTGACATCGAAGATTGATTAGACGTATTATATTAACGATGTAGCAATCGGTTAAACAAGATACGATAGAATCGATTTTTTTTCCTACAGCCAGTGAGACATAAAGAATTCATGTCGTTACGGTGATACCGAGCACAAAACACGCGTCGCGTGTAAGAAATGAAAAAAATAACATGATCCATACAATGTCGTTAGATGTTGGCTAAACAAGTGATCTGGTTGTTAGAAAAAAAAAAGACATCCTTCTCCATAAGCTCGAGAACGTAGGTGGCGTACGTATTGTTCGTGACGGAAATATAGACACATGAGTGTGCACATTTCCGGCACATTTGTATTTATCGCGATATAAATATTCAGAGAAATACGTAATAAAAGAGGAAACAGTACGAAATGCGATTATACGCGACGAAGATATAGCAAAATCATTTTACGCAAACGAAGCAAATTAAGGCATTCTATATCAGCATCGATTAAAATGTAATTTTGTCGGATCTAGGATGCCGCGATCGATTGGGCCAGAGACCACAGGGTTCATCACAAATACAGCGAGACCGACGCCGATCCGCACAACGCTACGAGAGGTTTCTTCTTTTCCCACGTGGGCTGGCTGCTTTGCAGGAAACACCCAGAAGTTAAGGAAAAGGGCAAGGGTATCGACTTAAGTGATCTTGAGAGCGATCCTATATTGGCATTCCAAAAGAAGTACGTGTGTCGATATTGATCGAAGTGATGCTTCATTGACGAACAAGTGTCTACAATAAATTATTGCTCGTTTCAGATATTATTTCATACTGATGCCATTGCTGTGCTTCATTTTGCCAACCGTTATTCCGGTCCTGTGTTGGAACGAAACATGGACGAACGCTTACTTCATTCCCACTGTTTTCCGTTATATCTTTACATTGAATATGACGTGGCTGGTAAATTCCGCGGCTCATCTCTTCGGCAATAAACCCTATGACAGGTAAGCATCAATCGGGTTAAGCCAGTCTTGTAAATGTACTTTTTAAATTTTATACTTTAAAAATTTTTTTTCCAGAGAAGAAAATTATCAAATTTTTCAGTCTTTACTTTTCAAATCTTTACTAGACTTTTTTGAAAGATTTATTTTCAGAGCGGCGTAATCAACATTCAATTACAATTGCTTTCTTGTAGGTTTATCAATCCATCGGAGAACAAAGGCGTTGCCATGTTCGCCCTCGGCGAAGGCTGGCACAATTATCACCACGTCTTTCCCTGGGATTACAAAACGGCCGAGCTCGGCAATTATAAACTCAACTTCACGACGGCCTTCATCGACTTCTTCGCGAAGATCGGCTGGGCCTACGATTTAAAGAGCGTATCCGTGGACATGGTAAGGAAACGAGTGGAGAGAACGGGTGACGGCAGCCACGAGTTGTGGGGTTGGGGCGATAAGGACCAAACGCAGGAGGAAAGAGACGAAGCGATAGTGACGCATCATCACACGAAAGATCAGTAGGACACTGCGTGTACCTACGTGCGAGACTCTCGATTAAGTAAGGCTTTTTTCCACATTCGTCCACAAATCGGTCAACAAATCGATTTGTTTAGACATTTTATGAAAGATACTATTTAACTCGACCTTCCAGGACAGTCTCGACCGTCGCGTATCTCGGTTCCGACATGTCGTTGCACGATTATTTGGCGGGTTCCATGTAATACAGTCTTGGAAGGTCCAGCACCGAGCAGGATTTTTGTAATGTCGATGGTGTTCTGGATTGCGAGCGTTGTACTCGCCCGATAAGCTTTTTTACCGCCTTTACAGAGATATACAGAGTTAGCTTTCGAATTATACTGTGTAATTATTGGGCCATAGATTGTTGTACCATTTGTACAATTTTTTAACGCGCAATCGTAACGAGAACATATACGTATTTGTATAATTGGAGCATTGATCAAATATAATAATTTTGTACTTTTGCCTTTTAAAGTATCTACAGTGGGTAATCTACTGCGGCAAGAAAAAATAGTAGAATGATAAATATGGTACAAAAATTACGAATCTGATTTAACATAAATATAAATCGTTTTTAAGAATTTATAAACGTTGCTAAATCGTTGCTCAAGTTTAAATAACATCTACTATGTGATCAAATTTTGTATGTTGCACCTTTTTGAGCAAAATAAACAATTCGGTTCTCAAACCTGATAATAATCTTAAGACAATACCGTCTTGTTGTTAAATCAAAATTGACTTTAAAAAGTACTGTATCGTCCAGAACATCAGCGAAATATTATTCTTTAACAAATCTAAAAGTTAAATTTTCTCTCTTTCTTTGACGTAAATTTTAACATTATAAACGCATAAAAATTCTAAGTTTTTATTTACGTTACGATGAAAAGTTATTTGAAAAATACATCACGTTTTTGTATAATTTTTCTCTTAGTTCCTATTAATATGTTTCATGCTTATCATATTATATAAATTAGTTTGTAAAAATGGATTTGGTATAATTTATTTTTTTAATTATACGTATAAAAAATTATTTCTAATAGGGTAAAAGAAACATGTAAATAAAAAAAGTTTGTGTTAATAGGGAGTTTTTGCAATACCGTCTTTCAGACACGGTAACCGTTATCTGAATTGTTCAGATACAGAGTGAATGTATCTGAACAATTCAGATAACGTTTGCTGTGTCTGAAAGACGATATTGCAAAAATTTTCCTCATATAATAAGAAAGATTAATAAAGATGCGTAAACCAAAGTAAGAGAATGTAATTATCCAATGTGATGCAGTTGTGCGAGATACGATGTATGTGTATATTAATTTATCATTGTGTTTGCATCAATTAATATAATATAAGATTCGAGAATAACTGTTATACAACAGTTTGTGATGTAAAATTGTAAAGCGATGAAAGACGGGAGGGAAGTCATGATTTCTGACGGAACTCGTTGCTCCTCGCTCTAGTTAAGTAAGCGATTATACTTTTTTATGATATAAATAAACATAAAGCACTTCTACTTACGTTTTGTTACGCATCTACCTTCCGAAGACATCGAAAATATCTGAGATCGTACATACGAAAACGCAACGCGATTTTGTAAGTGTGTCAAGTTAATCGAACGTTACATTAATTATAATTTATATCTTTACAGAATTTAAATTCATACTTTAACACGTAACAATCGCGCGTATTTGTTTTCAAGTCAACATTATTGGAAATTTCTACATCCGGTCTTTTGATTACAATTTGTATTTTATATCATATTCTTAAATAAGATTATAATTGTTCGTCCAGTATGGCAAGAAAAATGCACGAAAAATGATATGTTTATTAAGGACACAAAAATAAAATTATTGTATTTTTACTATTAAATATAAGAAATCACATGACTGTATCGTATTGTATTATACAATAATAAGCTGTCGCATTAATAACTAAAATAAAGTGTTTAAGAAAATATATATTTTTATGTAAAGACATTACGTACCTTGCGTCTCTTTATTCAGCGTCTACACCTTTAATTCAAACGTAAAATTGTCTCAAACATCACTTTAATCAGTAATATCATAAACCAGTACCTACATAATGTAGTGATAAATGAGTGTTCCAGTTTAGCGAGTATCGTTCTTTATTAGACAATAAATTTTATCAGGCGGCATATACTTAATTTATAAAAGAAATAATATATACAGGAAATTTCATGATTAATATAAATTGAGATTTAAATTGTCCTACAATTACCCAGTAAACAAAATGTTAGCAGCATGCGCACAAATTTGCAACAAATTTGATTAGATTCTACACCAAAACTATCTGTGTTCGCAATGAGTTCGTGTTCTGTCGAACACGAAGCCTGCCGACAGGCAATGTGAACAAATTGGCAATAGAAACCACGCAAGATAAAGTCATGTTAGGAAGTTTTATCGCATTTCTGGCAACAGTTTGCCAACATCGTCTGATACAGCAGCTGTGTGAAATTTGTTGCCTTTCTGACATGAAAAATTTACTGCAAAATCTGCTCAGAATCTATCTGCGCAGGTTTGGCTATCTGCAATGGGTAAATAACTTTAATTAGATGTTTATTTTGCATATATTATTACACAAAATTTCAAACAATTTACTTTTTCAACTGAAATTTACAAAATATCAGTTACATATAGTAATTTCATTAAATTAATTTACTCTCTATGCGAATTCGCTTTCCTAATGGCGATATATCAGCTTCTCCTTGTAAGCAGCTTCTTCCGCGTTCTCTTTTATCTCCGCCAGAGCTTCATTCAACGTCATCTTCGATGTTGCGATCTTGTAGAGAGCTTCTCGCACATCGTCGCTAGTGGCGGTCTTTAGCTGATTAATAAGTCCGAGTTCGCGCCACATCTTGACGACGAACGTGATGAATCCCGTTTCATAAGTGCCGAATTCATCATTTTTCCAGTCCCACGGTATCACGTAATGATAATTCAGCCAGTAACTCTTCGACAAGAAAAAGACGGAATTGTCATCGACCGGGAACCTGAAACATCAATGTTAGATTAGAAACAAACTCAACAGACATAATGACAAAGATTACGCTATTATAATTATAAAAAATACAGGGACACGAATGTTATTAGGAAGGAAGGAAGGAAGGAAGGAAGGAAGGAAGGAAGGTAGTTATTAAAGTCTCACTAATACCAGAATTTTTAGATAATATAAAATTCTAAGCTTGTGTTAATAACAACATAATTTTATTAATATCTTAAACTAATTGTCAGAATAATATTAATATCTTAAACTAATTGTCAGAATAATTGTATAATTGATATATAAAACTAAATCTTTTATGAAAGAGAAAGAATGTAGTTTAATTTTTACTCGTGATGCTTTTGGAATTTACGACAAAATATTCTTAAAATCCTCAGATTCCTCAGTCAAGCGCTACTTGCAATGTATACCATCCTTGTCAATACGAACGGTACCGTGACTTTTCGGCATCTCGAAGAATAGCTTGTATAAAAGCGAGAGAGTATTAAAAACAGATATTAACTTGTCTCCTTTCTTCAGGCCCCAAACCAATAAGGCGCTGTTTACTAGCCAAGAAATATTGGTGGTTATCAATAATCGCGCTGCGCCAATGATTAAAAACGAGTTTATATATGATTCATCCAAGTATTCTATAGTCACGTAGACAGGTACCAGAAGTCCGAGCAAGAAGAATATCCAGTAGAACCTGCGCAATATACTTGTTTTAATAAATTATTTTTCTATATCGCAATTAGATAGATAAGTTATAGATTAGAATTAGGCAATATAACGCTTTGGAATAGAATCCCCTCAGATACAAAAAAAATGAAATAAATAAAATATGATAAGTAAAGATATAGCTAATAAAGAAAAATGTATGAAACTAGAAAACTAAATAAATAAAGAGATAGGAAGGTAAATATTCCCTGAAAAGAAAGGATAATAACGAAGCACAGAACTATAGATAATAATAAAAAATTATAAATAATCCCGTTTTTATATAATCTTCTATACGAAGAAAGCAGTGCATAAAAAATAAGCTGTTTTATAATACATTTGAACTATATAATTGAAGAGTCATACTTTCGTTGCGTCCAAACATATCCATCCATATCCACATCGCGCATATCAATGTCTTTCGCATATGTCTCCAAGTCAGAGGGTGCTGATAAGAGATTACTAATCACGTGGGAATAAAAAAATCCTTTCTTATGATTGTACGGGTCCTTTTCGGTGCCGTAATATCTATGATGCATTCTGTGCCAAAATACCCAGTCATATATTGAACCCTGATAAAAATTTAAATATAGTTATTTTTGTAATTTACATTTTTTTTATATATATGCAACATTAAAAATTTATTAATAATGCTAGATAAGATTTTTGTTCATTGTACAGCCTTCGTTCTTTATTGTAAAATGCATGTCTCTAGAGTCGCATTGACTTTGCGATTACACTATTCGACAAAAAATTACTTTTTTTCCTAGTACAAAAAGAGAATATTTGTTTTCCGTAGTTTTTTAAACGCCGAATAGGAACTCTTACTAAATTGCTCTATCACGTGAATACTAATCTGATCACGTGAATACTAATCATTGAATACTAATCTAATGTCATGTCATTGAATATTAATCTGATGTTTTGATAAATTCAAAACGGAGCTGAATTCTAATCTAATGTAAAAATTCGACTATTTATAATTTTGATATCTGCTATAAAAAAAGGGTTATTTTAGTGGATTTTGGCATATTCTAACTGCACTATGTGACGTATTGGAGAAGTTTTCAACGATCTGAAAAACTCTGGAGTTTTAGTAACATAATTTAAAAAAATATTTCTTTAACCCTCCGTCACCTCCCTGGGTTTTTTTGGGCACAAGCAAAATTTTGAGCTCATCATATATGTCCGAAATAAAGAGAGGGCGAGGTTTGGCTCCCCTCTCGAAAAAAAGTTGTTAGTAGTGAGAATTCACTCGCCAAGGGACGCCAGGATCCGGCAGGCTGGACAAAATGAACCCAGGGGGGCAACGAAAGTAGTAAAAATAACGGTGACGGAGGGTTAATGATCTATGTTTTATGTAAGTTACAATTTTGATACAATAGACTCTATGTTAATCATTAATATCTTTTAACTATAATCAACACAACAAATTCCTTTTAAGGGCTGAAAGCCCTAACAACATACTTAATTTTGATTGCAATAAAACTTGTCCAACGCATCACATAGCCTAGTTATAATATGCCAAAATACACAAAAATAACCTTTTTTGCAGCTACAAATTTCTCAAAATTGTGACGTAATAATAAACGGGACAGTATTCAACGGGATAGTATTCAAAAACCTACGGAAAACGATTACTCTCATTCGTGTGCATCTTTTTTTGTTGGAAAGTGTTATTAGTTAGTTAACATAATTGCTATTATGTATTGCATATGCATATTCTGAATAGGATGACTTCGAGCTTTATGATATAGAATGTATCAGAATGTATAAGTAATGACGATAATTGCGCAATACAGTTTTATTAAAAATATATTGAATAAAACCACTGAAAGAGTGAAATAGCGAAAATGTTAAGGGTGCAATTGAACAACCTTTAAGTGGTATGACAAGCAAAAAATTTATCTTCTTTTATCAAACTAAATATTTAAGAAATAAAAAACTTTGAGTATTTAAAACTTTGGCACATGATTCTATATTTTTTTATACTTAAATAACCATACTTTATATGGTAATTTTAAAAAAAGAATTATTAAACAATATTAATAACGGGAGTTATTGGTAACGAAGAAAAGCAGTTCAGTAGCTGGTGATGGACATGAAATCTCGAAAACGGCTCCAACGATTTCTTTCAAAAAATTTTTATAAGTTGTTGAAAACAGTAACTATATAAAATGTATTGGAAACAGAATTAAAAAAAAAAAATATTTTAGTTGTAAAAAAGTATAAAATTGCATTTTTTTATTAAAATAAAAAAAAATGTTTTTTTTTTTTTGCTTTCAACACATTTTAGAGGCACTTTTCTAGATTATGAATCCGTTTTTTAATTTTGTTTTAGATTTTTTGTTACTCTGGAATCATGTCCACAACCAGCTACTGAACGGAAAGAACTATTTCCCTTTATTACCAATAACTCCCGTTATTATTAATATTTTTTAGCAATTATGGTCATTTTGACCATAAAAGAGTATAGAATTATGTGCAAAAGTTTCAAATATTCAGCATATTTTATTTCTTAAATATTTAACTTAAAAAAAAAGATCTATCTTTTTCGCCTGTCAAGGTTGTCTACCTCGTTAATAGTCATGTAAAAATGCATGTAAGAGATAAATATTAAAAATGTAAGTAAAAAATAAATATTAAAAATAACATTGCCATACAAAAATTTTTTGTACTCTAAAATTGATTTTACTATATTTTTAATTAATTGGCACAATATTAAAACACTTGAATATTTAAACAGTATTTAATATTTAATCGGTGCGGTTAAATCTTTTATTTACCACGCCTGCCTTAGTTTGTGCTAGCATTATGAAGAGTCGGAGTTGCCATGTAGCGACAAAAGTGTTGTGTGCATATAATCGGTGAGCACCCGCTGTCAGTCCTATGGAACTGATTGTGACGAGGAATATAACTGAAATTAGCACAATATTAGATTAATATTAAATATTGCCATAACATGTGCGCGTGTTAAATGACCATCAATAAGAAAATAATAGACATATTACAAAAATTAATCCATTGGCAAAAAGCTTTATTCATGAATACATATTTAAAGCTTGTATTTTACAGGATACTTAAAGGTACTAGCAGTTTGATGTTAACATTATTTTGGAATAGTGGCAGAAATAAGCTGATCTCATAGAGAGTTAATTGATTTTATTTTTATACCATTTTTCGTTTATAGTTTTATGTAATGATTTGTGATACTTACAGTAGAATACTGTCAGCCATTTCGCTTTAACGAACAGAAAGTATAATCCGGCCAAACCAAAGGCGTGAAGATAGATATAAAACAGGACGGCCGTCCACTTTATAGATCTTTTCTCCATTTCATTGCTGCTTTTGTTGGTGCTGTTGCAGTTATTCTCTTCCTTGGTTTCCGTCATGTCGATATTACGACTATCAAAAAAAAATTTAAAGTTAATACGAACACTTTGCAAATACTTTTCAAAGCCATTAATTGCTATTTAATAGCACAACAAATATAATTAAAAATTATAATGTTTTGCTGAAAGATGTTACAGTAGCAAAAAATAGAATAGATTAATTAATTATGGAATTATGACTTCATAAAGATGTAAAATATCTTAAATAATTTTATTCCTAATGTATCGGTAAATTATAATATAGATATATAATTATAGATGTAAAAGAAAAATTGATACAACGATTTAGAAACTATCTAAAGAACGAAGTTAAACTCGGACGAATAGAATTATTGAATGTTTTATTAGGTAAAAGTGAGAAGAGACTAAAAGATAAATACAGTTGGAACAAAAAATACAAGAAGCGTCGATCCACATTCTTTTTTTTGAAAGATAAATGTATCTATTTTACTTACTTCTCGAAACAGAGCCGCACTGAAACGCTCTTCTGGAAGAACGGTAGAGAACTACATGGCGAAGGTAATGTTGAGGATATTCTGTTTGGCCTTACGACCCATTCAGAATTTCATTATCAACAGAAATAAGTTACTTTTTCCTCGTCATTTCCTGCCTGTTAGAATTCGATGCATTTGTCAATTGCGCACATGCGTGACACATGACGGAATTGCTTAAATAATTGTTATTGTTATTAAATTGTAATTTTTTTTATAACATCACGAAATTTTTTATTTTTTTTATTTTCTTTTATTTTCTTTTATTATCTTCATGTTGCATTCGACAATCCGTAAAATATAGATTATATGCGTATTTAAAGGATTACTGAGTAAAGCGATTTATTTCAAAGACACATTTATATATGAAGCAAATTATAACTAGAAGCTGCGTAGATTACATATTAAAAGAAATTTTCCTTTTGAAAAAGATCTTTTTTTATTTCAGTTTTGTATTTGGAACTACAACTCTATAACAAGCTTAAGATCTTCAGGTGAAAGTTACTTGTTACAGAGACAAAAAATACATCTATCATTTGCATGAATATTTTAACATTAACGAACATTGAGCAATCTATACGAAGAGCCTACTGACTAAGCCTACATGCAAAGCAAATAATTAAGTATGCCGCGAATGTACTTTACACTTTGTCCGCGAATAATGGAGTAAAACAGGTTCACATCAACAGTCAAATGATGACGATGCTTTTCATATTTGCGTCTTTTTGCGAGATTAATTCATGCATGTGTTTACAGACACCAATATAATTATACATAGATTATCGTAGCTACGCAATGATAATAAATAATATAATAAAATTGTAATTCAAATTGTTGTTTTGTTATCAAAAATCGTACATCTTATATAAATATTATATTTTGTGGAAATATAGGAAGTTGAGCAATAAAAAAATATATTGAGACATTTACTTGAGTATAATAAATTTAATTATACATTTTGTATTTGACTGGTTAATCGGCTGTATTTAAATAAGTTACCTTAATAGTTAAATATATCGAAAAATATAAGTTTAGCTGTTGCTCGCAACGATACACAAATGATTAGTGTAACATATATATTTAAAGACAATTATACTTACATACGTATTTAACAAGATGTTTATAAGCTCATTATTATTTCATAATTATTTATATCATACATTATAATTTTCAATATTATAATCTTATACATATTTTAAATTAGATTTCATTGGCTAAGTTTTAAACTGCAAGTTGCATGGAAAATTTCCATGTATCATTTCCATAATTCAATATACTGCAGTATTAAATATCAAATATTTTTAACACATATTATATAGAATACACATATAACAATAGGATTCGCTTGTGAACAATATAGGAACTGTGTTGGAAAGAATATCTTATAAAAGGCACCATAATTATCATGTATAATCATATGTATAATCTGTTTAAGCTAATTGGTCGAAGTGACGTTTCGAGATACCAAAGTATAAAGCATAAAATTAAGCGTAACCATAAGAATATAAAAAAAATATACATTATTGAAAAACATAAAATAATAATTTTATCTTAACCCTTAAATGCCACCCGGGGTCCAGCGGACCCCAGACCCTTTAAAATGAAATGTTTTCAAATGTTCTTGCCAAAAATAGAGCTCATGCTCCCATTGATGATAGTTGAGTGATTGACCTACCCGTTTGTACACTTAGCAGTACTCAGTTTACTTAATTTTTTATACTATTTTGAAATTGAAATTTTAACAATATAAGCATTTTATTCTCTTTTCTAAGTCTTGAACAACATTGAAAATAATTTTCATAACTAAATATCAAAAAATCAATGAGTAAGGAGACATTTTTCATGCTGGGGTCTTTTAGACCCCATGTGTCATTTACGAGATTCTTGAGAAATGTGGCATTTAAGGGTTAAATACAATGTTATATTAAAAACAAATCATATCAAGATTTTTATATTTTGATATATGTTTCAAACTTTAATGGAGTATTAATTGAAATTTTTTGTTATTACATAGAAGAAACGAAATATATGAAAAATTTTTTGTGAAAATTATCTCGATAATATGTGAGGATTTTATTTTCATCTTCGATTTCTTTTCATATCGTCAAAAACAATAAATTTCAAATACAATTTCCTAACTAAAGATTTAAAGAAATAAAGTATTTCAAGAATATACAAAACTTATCATAGAACATACCAATATACAATGGTCTCTCTCATTCAGATTATTGTACTTTGCGTCATTCACATTCAATAAAAGAAAAATTTTTATAATGCACAGTTATACGACAATAACAAATAACGATTACATACGTATTATATAAAACGTAATAATACGTATTATTAAACACTGGCTTTCTATGTATCAAACAATGGACCCTCGATTATGCGAAGTTGTATAATATTTACCATTGTACGTTGTAAAATTTATTATTATGTTATATGTAACAAACAATTCTAACAAATCTCATAAATATACAATAAATAAACAACTTATGCATCTTAACTCTATGATGAATTTTATAAATAATTTATGGTTGTCGTAATTAAAAGAGTTTATTTATTAATCGCTGATTATAATCGAGAGCCAACTGTACATTTATCGACTATCTTGCGATTAAAATATCTCTTTAATCGTTATAAACATTTCTCAATGGTATACAGCAATCTATGTGGAAGTTGAAGTTCCAGAGAGTCTTAAATCTGTATCACTTTAGCTCAAATCTTTGTGAATGATTTCACGTGGTCCACGTGTGACGTATTAGAGGAGGTGCTTCTCCTCAACGTTTTTTTTTCGATCCATCCGAGAGAATTTGATCGGGACACGCCTCGAGTTTTTTTCAGTCTCACATTTCGTCATTACCCATCATATCCAACTCTGTCAGATCTTCTTTCGAAATGTCGACATCGCCGTAACCCCAGACGTGACTGCCATCGCCACATCGACGCGCCCTGCGACGGATCATATTTGGCGAGACGTATTTCAGATCGTAGGCCCAACCGATCCGTGCAAACAGATCGATGAAACCAGTGGTAAGGTTGAACGGATAATCGCCTAGTTCACCGGTCTTGTAGTCCCATGGAAACACGTGATGGTAATTGTGATATCCCTCGCCGAGCGACGCGATCGACACCGCAATATTCTCCACCGGCGAGATGTACCTACGAACAAATTGTTGAATTAAAGGTCTAATATTTAGATGAAATCTTCATATATTATATTAAAAAAAAAACGAATTAAATAGTTGCTTTTTTCAATCGTCCCACCAGCGGTGGTTTTCGATAGATTCGCGATTCAATACATACTTATCATAGGGTTTCTGTCCCCACATGTGTGCCACGCTGTTAACGGAGAAGGCTATGTTTAAATTGATGCAGAAGCGAAGATTGAAGTTCACCCAGAATGAAACCCACAGCGACTCCGACCACAAGTAGCAAGGAATCGCCACCGGTAATGCGATGGTCAGCAGCGCAAATAGAGGTATATAATATCTACAGATAGATTCATATTAAAATTAATTATATATATCACAAATAATTTCATTAATTTCATTAATTATATCACGCATAAATTTTCTAAATAAAATAAGAATAATGATAAAGGTCTTTGATATATCGCACTCCTAGAAGATTACTGTCACAACTCAAAAATTCACAATTTCCAGTAGAGAAGAAAAACAAATTTAATTTAATTGTTTTTAATTGTGAGATAATTAACGCAATTAAAATTATGATATTTTGTTATAATAAAACTTATACAGTTACTTGTGTGTGTAAAGCACTTGTGACATTATTCATCCAGCAACCGCAACATAACCGGTTTAAAAGAATAACACTTTTGTCTCGTGTAGCGAATTTAGCATATAGACTTGTGACACTATTATAGCACGTAGGTAACATTTTAGGCATACTTTTTATAGGCTTAGGGGAGAGTGGGGTAATTGTGAACACGGGGTAAACGCGAACGATACTATTGTATTGTTAGAGTAGTGATATTTTTCGACTTCTCGTACTCGTACCACACTGAGCGTATATCGGACTATTGCTGGGTGCGAGAAGTAGGAGAATATCACTATTCTAATTTACAACATCAGTAATCGTTCGCGTTTACCCCGTGTTCACAATTACCCCACTCTCCCCTAACTCAAAATCGAAATTTTTTTAGTTGTGACGCGGTGTTCTTCTAGAGGTGCGATATATTTCATTTTTCCTTATATATATTTCTTTTTGCAAAATTTTGCAATATTGAGAGAAAGCGAACGATGTGAACAAATGAGTACCATAAGCTTCTTGCCTTTTTTGCCACATAACTATGGAATCCGCTTCTAGATCGCTCACATCAACCGCCTTACGTTTGGCGACGACGTCAGGATGAGGTGTCGTAAAAAGCCACCCTACATGAGCGAAGAAGAAACCTCTCCTTACGTCATGGGGATCAGCATCGGTTTCACTGTACTTGTGATGTACCCTGTGATCCAATGCCCACGTGTACGCATCTTTCTGCACAAAAAGAACATTATTAAGAAAATCCTTAGCAAAAATCATTAACTTGTTTTTTAACATGTATATATATGTATATACATTAGACATATACTTACATATAATCTATAATTATAAACTTATAATCTTTAATATAAATTATATTTTTTGTGTGTGACAGCGATAATAATACAGTCACAATCTGGTCACAATAGTAATAGAGAACTTGCTATTAAGAAGATTATTGTTATTACATAAGGGTTTACGTACTTGTCCTGTTATTGTGAAAAGGAGGACTAAAAGTAGACGCAGAGGCCATTTCGCTTTGTACGCCTTGTGCGACCATAATCTATGAACGCCAGCCGTAATACCAAAGCCAGATGTATAAATCGTCGCAAACGCTGTAATCATAAAAGATATATCCATCGACACATTCTCAGAACTTCAGAAGTATATACATTCGAATGGTTAAAATAGAGCAGTATAACATTGACGTATCCTACCCAATCTCTATCCACTTGCTATAAATTAGATTTTACGATATCATTTATTTTGATTGAAAAAACGAAAATTCTTTTTACGTGATAATTTAGACATAATGCTTTGCATGTGATAATTTTATCCAATTTATTAACTTTATCTTCTATTTTTTTTAGTTTTTTATCTTTACTATCTTTCAGTTTATCTAATTTGTAACTTCATTTTTTTTTCAAATTCTTATATAATCTTTTCGTATTTTTAATGTTGGTTCCTTACGAAGATAAGGTAATTTTCAAAGTTCGTGAAAGAAAAAAACAAGTTACTTAACAAATTGTTAAAAATAAATTAAGCTATAATATTCGTTTCTTCTTCTATCACACGTTCTTTAGATTGTCGCTTGAGAATTAAAACGTTATATATTCACCGTGTCGCAAAGCAAATGTAACCACGAATGCAGAAATCTGAGACGCGGTTATCGCGGTTTATTCTTCCGTTTTACGGGATCCAACGCCAGTAGGTTTGATACGCCGGCTTTAAACGTCAATCGAATGCAAACACGTACGTTTGCGTAACACGTCTCATTATCAGGCGTTTCTTGTAAGTATGCTTTTACGGCCATAGCCGCGTGCGTGTTTTTAGCCATTTACTTTCCACGGCCAATGCCGCGTGTGTGATTCAACTCGCGGAATATAGGTAAGATAGATAAGTTATACCCGGTAGTGTATGACGCAAATTTTTATTTCAAGCGTCTTAACACTCGCATGGCGGCGTTTAATTTTTTTTTGCGGCTGTACTGGCAAGCGATCTCGATTTACACTTATAAAAAAGTACGGTAATTTAAAAATTAAGAAAAAATTGCAAAAATATATCAAGAGCACAGAGAAAATGTGACAGCGTAAAAAAACAATACAAATATTTGTATTGTTTATAAAATAAAAACAATTATGATTATTTCCTCTCTTGACTATCAACATTCCAATCTCAATGAGAAAAACTCTGTACACAACAGCATACGACATTTAAAAATTATCGCAGCGACGTAATTTCGTTCGAATGGATTGCGTGCTCTCATCTACCCACACATTACACGCGTTGCAAAACATATTTAAAAAACGACAGATTCGCAGATAGAAGTAACCCAACGCTCACAATCAGAGTATAGTACTCGGTCAAGCGTTACGAAATTATCGCGCTGTTATTATTGTGATTAACTGGCAAATGACACGAAATTAATGGCCCGACCTACATTTTTACGCTAGCGTAAATCAAAGTTTCTAACATTCTCATATTTCAAGGATTATAGTTTTACGATAACGAATAAAGCAATCTAACATCGATTCATGTGTTCCATGTAAATGCTAAGGTCATTAAAATTATAATTAAAAAAAAATGGAATTATAAAAAGTAACAGTTTTTTGCGTATGTAAAACTTAAATTATATTACTGTGATTTAAAGTAAAAGAAAAAAGATCAGTTACATTATACAACAAAAGATGACATGTAATAAATAAAATAATATTAAGTATTATTTATTCTGTATTATGATATGAGACAGTTAACTTGCAAACGCAAATGTTTTAATTAGATTCCAAAACCAAATAAGTATTAGAGCTGTTCTGTACGTAGATTATAAATTTATCTCCACCTGCCTGATAAACGATACCGAGATAGCTATCTACCATATATCTAGTATCCCAAAGCGGGATGTTAAAATCACTTGTTCAAATGTATATTGTACAGTCTTAAAAACTAACGAAAAATATCTATTTCAAAATTATACAAAGCTGTACAAGAAGATGTGTAAAAAGTATTCTCTTCATAAAGTCGAAATGTTTATTATAATGTTAAAACCGCGAAAATTGGTGTTAATTGACGGTAAATTAAACATTTGAACAGTAAATTAAAATATTTGACTTTACAAGTTAACTAGTATCTCTTTGTATCATAATACAGGATAAATAATAATATTATCTTATTTATTACGTGCCATCTTTTGTTATATGTATAATGTAATTAATCTTTTCTGCTTTTACTTAATTTTTTTACACACGTATGGATCAGGAAATTCGTCTTACCCCATAGCGGTGTAAGCAATTTCGCTTGCGTGAACACCAAATACAATCCGTAGAGACAACCGCCGTGTATGAAGATTTGCGCGATAAGGTCCAGCCACTTTATCCTCGGCACGTACTCGCTCTCGATCGACGACTCATCGTTCTTCTGAGTCGTCGCTTCGTGGTTCTTCACTGTTTCACCGTTCGTCAGCCGATTCCTCTTCAGCGTCACGTTGCAATCCGTCTCTGGCTTGGGACACATTGTTAGCGCTATCCTTTCCTCGTTTGGCGACATCTTCATCGAGTTTCGTTCAAATGCTTTGCGGTTGTCTAGAAACCCTTGCGGACCATACACCAACAATCCTCTGTTGATCTTCCGGCATATGAATCGATTCAATCGTTGCTCTGCATTTCAAGTAGCTCTCGCGAGATTGGCCAATACCCGTGATCCGATTTATCGATTGCGATATTGTGCAAAATCAATAAGAGCGAATCTAGATATAGCGAATCGAAATTTCAGATCGACTCATCACGCAGGACGGTTCTTTTCAGTGATCTAAAATAATAACAAATGTGCATGTTGGTAAATATTTTTCTTTTAACAATATTCCTACAGCGTTAAACAACTTCAAATTTGTCAAAAAATCAACGTCAGGATTTTTAGAACATTTTATTCACTTCTATCCTTTGATAATTCTACATTATTCGTTAAATAAGTATTTTGTGATAAAAGCGATCGAGGGGAATGCATGCATAGGACATTACATATTGATCGCTGATAAAGCCACTCAGCTCGCATCGCGATAAGATTTGTTTCCAGGTATTCTCTAAAACTTGTGTTATCGAAAAAGATCATTTATTCGGGAATTATTTTATCTTTCATTGTTTGCTTTTTTTAATCAAATGTAGCATAGTTAATTTGATCAGTTTTGTTATGTTAGTACAAATTGACATTCGATAAACATCGATTTTTAATTACTGAATTATCTTAAATTTAGAACATCTGGCATACTTCAACGTCATTTCTGATAATCAACTGGGATGAGTTCGATGTATATATCTTTAGAAGCATACGAATTTATGTGAATTATGGCAAGGCTAAGTCTCTCTCGCTAACACGTTACGTATATCTCGGTATGTAAATCAGCCGAGCACGACCGCGGAAACATTTTCCACGGTGACTTAACAACGACAGGTGCAATCTGCAGAAATATCCTCGACCCAATATGCCGTGCATTATAACATTTTAATCACTTGCAAACAGTTTTAGAATTAACACGTTAATTACATAAGTCACGTTTTATCTCCGAATACCCGATAAAAGATTAATATTCCTAAAATAGATAATAGATAAATATTTCTCGTAATTTTTACAAACTAATCAAATATTAGAAAAGTATATCAATAATATAAAAATGGTAAATATATACGTATAACTTTTTATTTAAGCACATGTATTATTCGGAAAGCAGTTATTTATCATTTTTTCATATCTTTATAATCAAAATATAAATTAATGAGAGCATTAGCAAAATGTAATTAATATTATTGGGGCACAAATAATATTGTTCAGAGTCTAATTGATTAAAAGTAATATCAGAAAAATTCGTATATCCGTAAATTTCTACTGCAAAAATAACCGCACAAAAAGGTAAAACTGCAGTTAACGCACTGAATGAGAGTCCGATGAATATTCTTGGCTAATTTTGTAACAGATGATAACAGTGCAGTAAGACACTTGTCGCTAATCCTTAAAATGTAGTAATACTTTAAACGTGTGAAAAGTGTAGTAATGCTTCAAATGTATATACATTATACAAATACAACATGTTTATAGTAATTTAGTAATTAATAGCATCGTTTACACTCATAACTGACTATAATATATAATCCAGAAAATTTATTACTACATTATTAATTATAAATAAAAACGCTACTCTGTCTTATATTGCTATTTTAAATAATACGATTATAATTTTCTATAATTATAACAATGACAACAATAGTAATATATTGTTATTCTTATAATTATACGTATCAAAAGTAGATTATGATACTTGATAATTTATCAAGACTTACAAAAATATCAGCTTTCTTCTGGTATATTAAAAATTAAACAAATATACCCGGAATAAGTAACGCGCGCAACGTTTCCCGGTATTTCGATACAATATCTTTTTTTATGGATCTCCTGGTAGTGGAGAAAAAGCACTTTCAACCCTTCCCTTGGATTATTTAACATTGATACAATATCTACTGATAATTGGTTACTTTCGACAACGCCAATGCCAAACTTCGAGGATGACAAGAGAACCGACTGATCGATCAATTGACAAACTCCAACTCGAAAACAATTCGCAACTGGTGTCGGAATAACGCAGTTCTGTCGCGTGAAATTAGGCGAAGTCATGCCTTCCACCATGGGCGAAGTATCAGATTACAAATAAATAATAATAATAAATCTAAATAATTTAGGTGAAAATAATGCATAATAAATGCATTATTGTTATGAGTACAAACATGCAAAAAGATGAATTAATTTACATATTATTATAACATTAAATATTAATGTTAATATCATATATGAAAATTGTATCAAAAGGTATCTTGTATATGATTTTCTTCTGGTAATATTAACAATAATAATTTTCGCGTAATTGTCTTCGAAATAAAGAACCATTAAACCATTCTTCAGCTGATAAATTTGATCTAAAACTGCCTGTACTTTGCAAACATTTAAAGCAGAATGTGTCCTCCTTTTCGCACGTTCCTCGTCCTCTCCTTCAGCCCTTTTCTTCGCTGACTCGAAATTCGATCGATGTGCTCGCAACGACTGAAAAACGCGCTCATTGTATCTCGTAACAGCGCGTCGCCGATTCTCGAATATATATAGATATGCAAAAATATTCGGATGGTTGTCATGACCACACGTTATATGACACGACTTTGAAAATCAAGATTGACCGATCTTGTCCTTCACTGAAAACACGGCAAGACTAAACAAAACGTGGTAAAGTTTTACGACGCAACATCTCGTAACGGTGAATATGCGGTAATCGTTTTATTTCGCGTTATTTTTTGAACGCTACAATGGACTGTTTCATATTATAATAATATTTATTAAACATCAATATCAATCAATATGTAATTATATCATTAGGTGCATGTATTTCTCTGCACACACACACACACACATACACACACACAAGTCAAATTATATTAATTTATTTAACTTATTGCACGACCCCGAATATCCATATCAATTTATTTTCAAAAATCTATCAAAAATTAAGTCAGCAGTTGATAAATAATTTATTCATTGTAATTAAATAAATTGATTACAGATCGATACCTATACAAGGATACTCGAATTTATAGTAGGAAATATTTAAGTAGGCTCTCGATATATAACACCTTAAATAGAAACAAGTGAAGTTAAAGCCATTGAAAGACGTCATCAAAGATTCCTTTAATATCCGTCTTGCCGGCTTCATTAACTCGAGCTATTTCTCATTAAACTAATGGTGTTTGCTCGCTTTTAGGATATTAGGTCAACATGTAGCACAAGCGAAAAGCTCCAGGATACTTCTTATGATTAAAAGCAAATTAAATCTATAGAGAGTGCAGTATGTTTACAATAATACGCGTATTTGATAAAGATAATATCATATGGTAAAAATTGAAATTATTTTTTCTATTTATATTATATCTTATATTTGATGTTTCAAAATTGAATAACAATAAAACAATAATGTAAATAAATTTCAATTCCAGTTCAGATTTTAAAAACAAATCTAAAATTAGTTGAAAAATAAAATATTTTACATATTCTACATTTCTCATATTCTACATTTAATCTGATTTGTTTCAAAAAGAAATATTGCGTATACTAAATGCACCTGTTGATAAATTACTTATATAAAACTATAAATAGATAGTATAAATCATCATTAGTTAACAACATTAAATTTTTCTTAATTTAGACAGACAAATGAACGAACAGTATTTACATTAATACATTTATATAAAAGCCAAAAGTGCTTGTTCAAGGAAGAGGGCATTCCCGGCATTCTCTCGAGTTCAGGCATTTCACAGATCGGTTTAATTACGTTGGTGGATGTGGGCGCGAATCCGACCCCATTACGAGATACTTTTGGTCCATTCTAATCTAAAGGTCAATTCACACTTGCAGGCACGTAAACTACGGAATCTAAACTACGGTGTCAAAAATATTCCCACGTTAATCGGTTTCTGTGTGTTGCGTAATATATGTAAGTATATTCGTACGCACGTACATCATAGATGATAACATCCCCGCTTTACATACATTATTATTTTTTATATCTTCAGTTTTTATATGTTTTATATGTTTTTTAACCTTCTGTTTATATCTTTAAGAGATTATTAAATGTACGTACATTTACTGTATTAAATAATCCATACTATGCATCTCTTGACAGATTAGGTACAATCTAATATAAAGAATAAAGATAATTTTGTCTTACATAAATTTTGAAAAGAGGTTCACAAAAGGATTAGTCATCCGATAGGTTTACGAGAGAGTACACCTTGTATATCTGACATCATGACTGTTCACGGGATTTTTCCGCGGTACCTACGCTCGATTACTAACAACAAAGAACTATAATAGCATTTTCAATGAATAATTTGCGTAGTTTTGCATTCAGCAATTATGAGAAGCTCATATGTCATTAATTATTATCGATGCAATTTTGTATAAAAAATTTGAGAATAAAAAGATGCGCGGAATAAAAAGGCACAGTGTTTACATTCACACAGCGCTCGAGCAAATGTACGGCATCTATTCTCATGGTCCTTTGATGATGTAATACGTCATAAAATATAATTATTTTAACGGAAATGGTAGGTTTCGAGCCAAACGCAGTTGTCTGAACGATTGAAACTGGACAAAAATTTGCCTTTATTCTACTTCGGTTGTGATTTTTTAATTTACAAGCCATTATTTCTGTTAATTGTTTGCTTTATCTTATTCTATTAATAAACATTTCTGTTTTTTCATTTGCCGATTTTTTTACGATGACGATATTAACGATGACGGTATTAAGGATCAAAGATGCACATGTATGCATACATCGTAAAAAGCTTTGTGATTACGAAACTTTCTTAAGTCATTATGAGATGCCAGATTTCTGAACATTAGAAAATACTTTTTAAAGATTTAATGACATAAGTATACTTCGGATACTTTTTCATTACAAATTAAGTATATATAAAATAGGATTTATGAGTATACATATATTTTTGTATACTATTACGCAATTAATTTTACAATTAATTATCGTATCTATACAAAACAAAAAACGCGATTAATTTAATTCAATGTTAAAAAAAATTTGTTACTTATAATTGTAAAAAATTGACCCGTTAGTTCAGCAGCGAATTATACGATATTTGCTCCATGACACAATTGCGAATGAAATGTGCGCCGCGTACGATCAATATTTTCTCGTTCGCATACACGCTGGTTTTAAATATCGCAATTTCAATCTTTGACAATGATGAACGTATGTATCC